GAGGGTGAGAGAAAGGGAAAGAGATATGAAGTTTGTAATTATAGGATAGAAATCGTTTACAAGATCCAAATTTTATGATGTATTTGATGCGTATACGACAAAAGCATAAGAAGACATTTGCGGTAATTAATGAAGTGTACGACTTATCATCCTCATCCAAATCTGTCGCATCAATAAAAATTTGTCATACTGATATGATTGATCAACAATCCGGTGGTATAATTTATTATTTTATAATTATCAAATATTTCAAAATTATTTTAAATTGATCATCAATTTTTTGAAATATGTAGTAGAATAAATTGGGTGATAATTTGAAAATTTTTGCATAATTTTTAAATATTTAAAGAATGATAAATGAAATTTTATGATAAAATATTAATGATAAGAGGAATTTTGATAAAATATCGATGATGAGGAAAAAAATAACGAAAAACAAAAGGAATAATAAGAGATAAAGGAGAGGGAGAAAGAGAAAGAGAGAGGGAATAATATGTTAGCGGATTTTAATAATGATTTTAAAAAGGATTGGAAAAAAAAAATTGAAATAATTTCTTTTTTTTTTCACTTCTAAATTATTTTTTTTGAATTCAATATTTTAAATATAGCAAATGAATGAAATTTATTAGAAACAATAATAATTTCAAAAAAGGAATCAAATGCAAAAAAAAAGAAGAAAAATTCATTAACTTATATAAATTGGAATAAATTGAAAAGCAAAAAATTACTGCTATAACAATATATTGAATATAGTACTTTATTATACCATTAATTATCATTTATTACTGTATTCCAATGTAATTTATTATTATACTTTATACTGTATTATATTATTACTCGTTATGTTACTGTGTTATTTATAGTATGGTATTTATGTTTATATTTGCTTCCATTCACATCTCTATTTATTTTTATTTATATTTGTAATAACACTATTATTATTTCATCATACTTATGTTACACTATTATTACATGAATGCATTACTTATACATTATTGGCCATAATGCTTATATATATTGGTATTTGAGTATTTATATACTTTTTTTATATTTATTTTTTATTTTTTTTATTTATGCTTATATTTATATTTGTATTTATATTTATATTTATATTTATATTTATATTTATATTTATATTTATATTTGTGACTTATATTTATATTCATATTTA